TTGAAAAATACTGTTGAATGGTTCTTGAAAGAATTTATCACGTCCAAGTCATCAGTTAGCCTTAGTCTAATCATGGCAGTAGAGCATGGTGGAAGTAGTAAATTGTTCCATGGCCAATGAGACATCCACACCAAACACCTACGTCTGTCACAGGACAATAAGGCCAAGACAGAAACTGAACAGCAAGGTAATCTTTCTTGGCTGTCTCTGTCTTAGAGAGGTAAAAGGGAAACAGATTGGTTTCTTGTGTGGGAAAACTCTGACTTAGCTTCTATCCTTGAAGGCTGGTCTTAACCCTCAGAATGAAGTATGGTGTATAATTACATGATAAATATCTACAATCCCAGTTGAAGCAGAGGTTTGCAACTGGCTCCATACTGTTATCAACTGTTGGGCGTTTGAACTATATTGATGCACAAGACCCATCCCCAGTGATTTGAATACTGTTCATATGTTCTTCAGAATTTGTTTGGCTGAGGGAGGCAGGAACGCAAAGCAGCCTCAGCCAGCATTCTGGAGTAGGTTGTGTTATTAGTTTGCTGCAAGGCAAATTACCCAAAGCTTAGCAATCAAAACCCAGTCATCTTGTAGAGTTGGGGTGGGGCTGGGATTTTAGGAGTGGGTATGTTGTTGATTCTACTTCAGGGTCTCTTATGTTAAAACCAAGATATCATATGGGCTTCAGATTTGAAGATTTGGCTAGTGTTGGCGAGCCCACTGGCAAGATGGCTCAGTTTTCTAGGTGGTGAACTGGCACTGGATCTTGACACATTTGTGGTCCTGCTACTTTGCCACACAGCCTTTTGTGCAGGATAGAGTGAATGATTTTCTCCAGAATGAATGGTCCAAGAGAACAAGGCAGAAGAAGCAGCTTGGTAGAATGGCTTGGCTGGGGTTAAGATTCCCTTGAGTAGTAGGAGGGGTAGAACTCAATAGAACTCACTGAAAAGTTTTTTGCACCCCAATAAGCCCCTCCGCTGACGCAGCAATCCAAATTAAAGCAAATCAGACCGAATTAGAAAAGGCCCCGGTTTAATGGGTAAAGCATTTCCAGGTGATTCTCTAGCCCTCCAGAGAGGAGACTGGGAGGAGAGACCGGAAAACCACGTGTCTGTTTTCTGGGATGCAGCTTACATACCCTATGGAAGTGGTCTTGAGCATCTCTGGGGAAGGAGCTGTGTTTGGCAGGCTTTGAAGGGGCAGGTTTGGGGAAAGAGATGGGGGAGGGGAGTTGAGGTGGAGCTTCCACCAGAACATTCCAGACTCTTTGGGTATATGGATGCCAGGGTGCCAGGGGCTGAGGTGGAGCTTCCAGCAGAACATTCCAGACTCTTTGGGTATATGGATGCCAGGGTGCCAGGGGCTGAGGTGGAGCTTCCACCAGAACACTCACAGGTTGAATAATCTCTTACAAAAGCTGAGGGTCACTCTCATATCATCTCACACCCTAGAGGAAATATACTGTTCACCCCATCCATTCAGTTTTTACAGAATGAAACGGATTAAAATGATATAAAGAGAAGCTTTGAAGGGGAAAGAATCATAATTTTAAAAACCCCAAGGGTTATAAGTGACTCACCTCTAGCCATAGTGACAGGCTTAGATCTGTCTAATAAACTTTTAACAGCTTTTGCATTTGCTGGGCCTCTGAGACTTTCCCAGATGATTTCATAACATGCTATTTGATCTTGAGAGCAGTCTTAGGTCTGTAGGATGGAGTCAAGAGGGTTGGGATTGAAAGATGGATCTAATAATAGTGAACACTCACCAGGTGCCAGGCATTTGATGACACTTTACATCAACCCATAATCAATTTCGTCAGGCACAACAGAATGATTTCAATTTTGTGCTAAGTTCAGTTTCTTTAGGCTTCAAGAGGTAAAGAGCACAAATGTGCTCAAGCTCCCAAGTTAAATGAAAACATAGGTTTATCTTTCTCTGTTCTATGCAATTTCTATTAATTTCCTCCATGCATTTCATTGAAAACATAATTTCCAGGCAGTACACATCATCTCTATTAGTGGCTCCATCTCCTTAGTTACTCTTCTAACTTCTGGTTTCATCTGAATATAAAGCAAATCATGGTTTCCAATTGCAGCAAGTAAATCTTTCTTCTTCGTGTGATTTGTGACTTACTGTAAGCACTAACAATAATCTGAGATAATCCTTCATAAATGTTAACTTTACTCTCAGGTAAAGTGTTGTGTATTACAACACAACCACAGAATCTTAAAAAAAAACTTTTAATAGTGTACAAAATGGGTGGCTAAGGATGGTGCTGGTGTAATTGAAAGGTGGGTTCAGGAAGCTGGGTGTCTTAGTCACTGTTCTATTGCTGTGAAGAGACTCCATGACCAAGGGAACTCTTACGAAAGAAAGCATTTAATTGGGGGCTTGATTACAGTTTCAGAGACTTAGTCCATTAACATCACGGCAGAAAGCATGGGAGCAGGCATGCGCAGCACTGGAGCAGTAGATGAGGGAGACTACTGGATCCTGGTCTGGAGGTGGTGGTGGGGGCGGGGGGCGGGGGGTGGTGGGGAGAGGAAAAGAAAGAGTGGAGGCAAGGGGAGAGGGAGAGACTGGGCCTGCTTGGGCTTTTGAAATCTCAAAGCCCACCCCCAGTGACACATTTCCTCCAACAAGGCCACACCTGCTAATCCTACTAATCCTTTCGTCCACTCCCGGGGTGACTAAGCATTCAAACACATGAACATATGGGGGCCATTCTTAGTCAAACCACCACACTGAACCACAGAGTTTGGGGACTGGCAGGGACTCATAAGACAGGATAGCATAGAGGTTAAGAGTGTCACTACTTGAGTCATAAAAGCTGCTGGAAGCATGACCTTGGGTAGTTATTGAACCATATATAGTCTCATAATTATATGGTTGTTCGAACATTAAATAATGTATGTTACCCTTCGTATAGTTAAAAATATGAGTTGTAGAATATAAAGCAAGCATGTCTAAAAGATTCATTTAAGAAATTAATAAGCTGGCAAGATAGTAAGGCTGGCTCAGAGAGAATTAGAGACAGTATTTGTGGTATCTGTAAGAATACTACTGGAATAATATCACTTTGATATAAATCTGGTCCCTGTATAGAGCAATTAGCTGAAACTTTTAGGGTTGTTGTCTCTACCAGAAAAATGATTTGCATCTCTGCCGGCCATATTAATTTTGCTTATCAGCTGTTTTCAAGTGGGGAGTGGTTTTGTCCCTAGGGGGCATTGGTAATGGGAAACATGCTGAAGTTACAACTCGGGGTGGGGGTGGGGGGTGCAAAAGAAGACAGGGATGGTTGTAAGTACTCTGCAGTGTGTACTACACCACCCATAGAAGACCTCTCTAGACTCAAATGCCAGCAGGGTCGAGGAGACAGGGGTGGTTGTAAGTACTCTGCAGTGTGTACCACACCACCCATAGAAGACCTCTCTAGACTCAAATGCCAGCAGGGTCAAGAGAGAAAACCTGGTGGTGTTTGTGCAGGTTAACATCTACACTTACAAGATCTAAACTGTTCTACTCAGGAGAGAACCGGATAATCTTTGGTCGAGTCAGCTCACCCTGAAGGGGCAGGAAAAAACCACCTTTTCCTGTTTCCAGGCTTTAGAGGACAGTTCTTCACTCCTACCCTCCCTTTGTTTGGAGTTTTTGAGGCATAGAAGGTATCACCGCGTAGTCCAGGCTAGCCTGGAACTGGCAGTTGTGCATCAGCCTTCTAAATGTTGGCGTTACAGGCTTTGCCAGCCGTCAAAACAGAATTTTGTTTGCCTGGTTTTTATTTTTATTTTTTTGTTGTTGAATTTTTGTTTTCTCAGACTGACCTCAAACTCAGCATGTAGCTGAGACTGGCCTTGAACTCCTGATCCTCCTGACCCCACCCTGACCTTCTGTCTGCCATCACATCCGGCAGCACATTTTCTTATTAGCATTTGACACTGTGTGTCAATATGGTTAATGCTCAGTAAAGGTTATTATTGTAGAATTTCAGATTCTATGTGGGTGTCTACATGCTTGTGTGATAAACAAAACCCTCAGCAGCCTTGGACTCTTTTAAAGAACATTGTGACAGTATCACTATTGGAAATGACTTTCCTGTCAGGTGACTTCTTCATGGTCACTTTGAAGTGCTAAGAAAATCCATATAATCTTCAAACTAATCTACGATAGGTTGTATTTTAAAAGGCAAGTCACATTTTAAAAAGTAACTTGAGGGGCTGGAGAGATGGCTCAGAGGTTAAGAGCACTGGCTGCTCTTCCAGAGGTCCCGAGTTCAATTCCCAGCACCCACATGGTAGCTCACAACCATCTGTAATGAGATCTTGTGCCCTCTTCTGGTGTGCAGACATAGTGCAGGCAAAATACTGTATATATAATAAATAAATAAATCTTTAAAAAAAAAAAAAGTAACTTGAAATACCAGACTCAAAAACCCAGCCTCTCTTTTTCCCCAAGGGACTATACTGTCAAATGGAGAGCATCCAAGATGTAGAGAGAAAACCCACTAGATACCTGATGTGAAAAAGTTAGGGAAGTGCAAAAATCAGAGTTGCAGTTTGTGGCACATTAATTGACTGGCTTATTAATCGATGGGGCTGGGGACCGTGTGTCAAGGCAAGATCTCTGTCACTGAACTATATCTAGGCTCCGTCTGGAGCACTTCTGATTGGCTAACACATTCTTTTTTTCTTATGGGCAAATGGTGTATGCATAATATCTCAGAAACAAGAAATGGAAAATGAAAAGAAATACAGGAAATAGAGATGCACAGTTTTCCAAATTCATCTTCTATAATTAGTTGAACAGCATGCCCAATAGTTGTATTAGTTCTGAGTACATCTGGCAGGAAGGCCACATAATAATGAAAACTAGAAGCTAATATATAAAGAATTGAATGCATTACCTATATAAAATCAGTAATTATTTTAAAATGTAACAATTGTGTTAATATAAATATAATAGTATATAAAATACATAAATGAATGAAATGTTTAAAATAGACCCATATGTTTAAAGTAGGTACAATGTGAAACAATAGGATATACACATAATTTCATAAACACAAGTGATATTTATTACATAAACAAAAATAATCAAAAAATTGGGGCTAGTAAGAAGCACCAAGAACTAAGACAGAAGAGGAACTTCCCCATCCTGTGGGGCTGAGAAGACACCCAAGGAGCCTTCTCTGACTGCTCTGAGGGCACTGCCAGAACCCACTGAATGACAGAGGTCATGCTGGCACATTTTCGGGAGGGTCATTCTTTAGAATTTTGAGGGAGTCCATCCTCTCCCGTGGTACTCCACCACAGCTGCTGGCTCTAGGGGCTGCTACCTTCCCTAGACCTATGATCTGGACTCTGGGGGAAGCCATGTTTGCTGCAGGCTCCTGGCTGGCAAACCCCCTGCTGTTTTTCCAGCGGTGACTATGGGGATGATTGACAGCTGTTAGTCGTCACACTCTGTCAGTGTGAGCACTTCAGTGTGTGCAGCTGCTATCTGCTGACTACAGGAGTAACTGAAGAGGTCCTCCCTGGGTCACTGATGCCACCGTCACCTAAAATGTCATCGCTAAGACCCTACTACAAGCTACAGAAGTTTGAGGTGGGGACTAGTAGTCTACATTCTTAGCAAATCTTCCAAATGATTCTCAGATACACTAAAGGGTAGGAACTAGTAAAGTTTCAGAAATGTGCATGAGTGGGTGTGACAGAAAGACACACACACACACACACACACACACACACACACACACACACACACACAAACACAGAGAGAGACATAGAGAGGCAGGTGGGGGAGGGAAAAAGAAAAGCTCACAGAGATTTCTCTGCTCTAAGCTTTAGTCTCAACTTCCTCAGCGTCTGGATCCATGGGCACAAACATATCAGGTATGCCCACTTCAGTGACCCGCTGTCCCTGATGTTGTCAAGGTCATGCTACTCTGACTAGAGCCTCTGAGCTACCATTAAAAACTTCAATGAATGTCTGTATGTACACAGAAGTGGTGAGCAATGCCTACCTTGCCTTTTCCATATCTATATTTCCTTCACTTTGGACCACTGACAGCATATTGAAGGATTAGCCTGTGCCAAAAATCCAAGGTCAGCACAGGAGCTCATCATTGTGCCCTGCCCTGTGGCTAACCTCATGAGCTGGCTAGCTTCCCTGACTAGGCTCCAAATCCAGAACAGAAAGCTCCATCCCCTCTGCCCAGGGCCCTTGCTTGGTTCCTTCCCAGGGAGGGAGAGGTGGTACATTTTAGTAGGCTATTTCTCTGAGGTTCTCTGCTCTAAAATGGAAAATCTATGTCCATGCTGATGTACTCTGGGGTGATGGCCCGGCCCTGCTCCTACCATTAGCTAGCTGCGTGGAATGGTCTAGCTCACTGGCTCTGGTTTCAGAGTCCATACTGAGCCAGAATCGGGACAGACAGTAACATTCTAAGATCTTACGATTCTAAATAATAAACAAACTCACTCTTTTTTTTTTTTCGAGACAGGGTTTCTCTGTGTAGCTTTGTGCCTTTCCTGGAACTCACTTGGTAGCCCAGGCTGGTTTCGAACTCACAGAGATCCGCCTGCCTCTGCCTCCCAAGTGCTGGGATTAAAGGCATGAGCCACCACCACCAGGCCAACAAACTCACTCTTAAATGTTAAACTGGTACCTAAAAAGGTAAAGCTTGAATTGTATCCATTGGTGATAGACGGTGCGTCTCAGTGCATAGTCTTTACTCAACCTTTGCTGATCTTGTCTTCATTTCTCTGTGTGTGAGGCATACATGTGCATGTGTTTGTGTACATGTGTGTGTGCACATGAATATGCACTTGGATACAAAGGCCAGAGTTTGACATTGGGCATCTTCCTTTATTGCTTTCTACCTTATTTTTTGAGACAGGGTCTCTCACTACACCCAGGGCTTGTCAGTTCAGGTAGAGTGGCAGACCAGCGCGAGTCCTCTCAGGTCTCTGTCTCTCCAGCCCTAGCAAAGCAGTTGAGTGCTGCTGCACCAGGCTTTTTCTTTTTACTTATTTATTTATTTAATGCCAAATGCTGTTTATTGAAGGACAGGGTTTTCATGTGAGTACTAGGAATCCAAACTCCGGTCCTCATGCTCATGTGGCAAGTACTTCTGGTTGGGAGCCTTAGCCTTTAAGCCATTTCTCCAGCCCCAGTCTTGTCTTTTCCATCTTCTGGCATGTTTAATACCAAGCACAAGTCTTCAGGCAGCACATCCTAAGGGGACCGAGAAAGCGCAGATTTTAGCAGGCTCGCTCCTTGTCAGTACAAAGAGCAGACACTTGCTCCCTGTATCTTTTTGGATTCAGTATGATCACTAACGAATAAAGGGCAACTGTAATATGAAACAATACATACAGAGAACAAGCACTGGAATTTTTTATTTTAAATTCCTGATTTATGGGGTTGGGGATTTAGCTCAGTGATAAAGCGCTTGCCCAGCAAGCGCAAGGCCCTGGGTTCGGTTCGGTCCTCAGCTCTGTTCGGGGGTGGGGGGGGGGGGGAGGGGGGGGGGCGGGGGTGGAATTCTTGATTTATTTCTTACTGATAATGGTAAGCAAAAGATGGTAGTTTTAGCAAACTTAATACAATGTTTCCATTTTTAATGTCCATTGTTCAGTTTCCTCACCACACTCCCCCCCATAAGGCAATCTTTCTCTGTTTAAGTTTTCAATGCTGAAACAGAGCAAAAAATTAAGTATAATAATTCTCTATCACACCTTTATGGTGGAGGGGCATCTCAGAAATTCTTAAGAGGTCTGAACGATTTATGTACATAAAACGTACAATCTATAGACATGAAAATGTGTATTACAGAAGGGCATGGTGGTGCACACCTTTAATCCCAGCACTCAGAAGGCAGAGGCAGATGGATCTCTATGAGTTCCAGGCCAGCCTGGTCTATATAATGATATCCAGGTCAGCTAAGGCTTCATAGTAAGAGACTATGTCTCAAAATCAAACAAAAATATATACTGTGTTTTCCCACAAAATCAACAAAGTCTACTATGATAATGACAACCATTTAGTTTTGACAGAATCTTGTTAGGGAGGGGAAGCAGGCAGAAGCTGTGGCAGATAGTTTCAGTTCCTATTTCACCCTCCTTTCCTGCTAAAATATCCTTGCTCTGTCCTGTGGCAATGTTCCAAGGCAATGAATGAATCAAGACTGGCATGAGCTTATCATTATGGCATCCTCTTCCCAGCCCCCCAGGCAGTGAGCAGTGACCATATGGCCCAGTTCGGACAGGAACTGCGGGAAAAGAAGCAAGGTCAGAGAGGGCCTTGAAGGCCACAGGGGAATTTTGACACTTACCCTTTAATCAGGACTTTTAACAGCTTGGCCAAAAACATGTATGTAGCTGCTAATTTGAGCCTTGGTTTTGTTTATGTTTTGTGTTTTTTATATTGTGTATAACCAAAAACACTCACTGGTTATCAATGGATTTTAGAAATTAAGAAATAATGACAACTGACCAAATGAGGCAATATGACAATATGTAAGAATTGAGAAGATTGTGCGCAATCTATTTTATTATTAATAAACCAAATTTATATTTGAATTAGGACTGCTCTACATGGATACATAATTTTAATCCCAGCATTGAAAAAGGCATTAAGAAATTATATAATTCCCATCCCCTGCCTGTGACTTTTAAAGAAAGGTTCTGGTTTTCCATATGACTGAAGAAATTATGTGATTTTGTAATTCTAGTGCTAGTTTCAGAAAATCAAATAAAACACCCCAAATCCTTCTATGGATATAAAAATCTCATCCCAGACACACTGGTATTGGACAAGCAGAAGAAAACCTATACCACAAAGCACAAAGTCTCCAGACACTGCAGTAAACTGCTGACTCAGCCAATGTGAGACCATTATTTTGGGTCATGCTGCTGGTTGCAGGTGGGGAGCATTGCTATGAGATTTCAGACAACAGCATTTTTCAAATTATATAACTAATGCCATGAAAACTAGAAAAAAAAATGCCGTGTAGTATACAAGGTTCATTTCGTAGTGTTTGAGTGTGTGTATACAACACAAATATACATAATAATGTGGACACACAACTATACACACAAATGCAGAAACACACAACACAATACTCATTGCTGGACTAGACACCAATCTTTTTCTCATGCTAGGAACTAGTCAGGAAAATCTGACCTCCATTCTTTAAAGGAACTGACCCTTTGTGCATGACCTGTGCTGTGCCTCCTGCAGAATGAGAGCAAGCCATTCTTGCATTCATGAGAGGTTCCTGTCCAATGGCATGGACACATATTGCTCTACAGATTGTGAAAAGTGTGATTAAAAAAATGAACAAAGATACAGAAGGGATGTCACTGTCCTGCAGGACATACTGCATTCTGGTTAATGTTCTTCAGCACATCCCTCCACGTGTCTTTCTTTCTTTCTTTTTTTTCCCCCAACATAGGGTTTTGCTGTCTTTCAAGTTTCTTAATCCATCCCAGGAGGACTTGCTGCATTCCATCTTTGTGCTGTTACTCACACACCTTAGGAATAAAGAGAAAAATATGAATACCCCAAGTCTTATTTGATTAGATCTTCACACCCAATACCTAAGAACGTTAAGATTACAAAGATTTTTGAGGCAAAAATTCTGCTTTCTCCATAAAGAACCACTCTGAATACAAATCCTGTTGTTTTAATCCTTGCATCAAATTTTGAGCCTATCTTTAGAAATTAGACGCCTCAACAGTTAATGAAGACTCATTACTAAGAATGAATGACTGCTGAGCGCTAAGCCATAAACAGGGCATATATGTATATGTGTATATATATATATATATATATATATATATATATATATATATATATACACACACATATATATCACTACCCTGCTTCCCAAGGCTCAAAGAACATTTTGGAAGATGGGGCAGAAGGGATTAGAGAGGTGGAATATGGGGAGAAGAGTGAAACGCTATCTTCTGAACTGGAAGTGAACTCACTGCAGCTACGGTCTCATGCACAAGACCTGCCCAAGATGGGGCCCACCAATACTGTCATGATAGGGAGGGGCTCTTGACGCCCCACTCCTCCTGAGGAACTATTTGCAGTTAATTGTGTCTGGGAGAGGGGAAGTCATTTTCTTCTGTAGTGTAACCACTGGTAAGTTACCTATGTCTGGTAAACGCTCCCTACCTATGCTCACACAATTCTAATTAAACTCAGTGGTTCACAAGCAACAACAACAAAAACAAATTAACAACCAGAGTAAACATAGAAAAAAAAGACATAAAAATAGCGGGGGAGGGGAGTATACTGGGAAGAAGGGGTTCAGAGGGAGTGGGAGAGTGGTGAGAGAGGATTATGGGTAATGGAAATGACAAAGTACATTATATACGTGTACATAATCATCAAACAATGAAAAACAGAAAGTCCAGATGCCCAATGTCATTTGCAATCGGCATAGATACTTGACTGTAGGAAAGGAAAACTTTGAGGACCAGAGGTGCATCAAAGGGCAGCTGCATGCAGCATGCTTTTTGTTTTTGAGTGTTGTCTGGAGAAGTATTATAGCCTTCAATCCACTGTCTTTTTTTTTTTTTGTTTGTTTTTTTTGTTTTTTCGAGACAGGGTTTCTCTGTGTAGCTTTGCGCCTTTCCTGGAACTCACTTGGTAGCCCAGGCTGGCCTCGAACTCACAGAGATCCACCTGGCTCTGCCTCCCGAGTGCTGGGATTAAAGGCGTGCGCCACCACCGCCCGGCTCAATCCACTGTCTTAAATGAAGGAGACTTAGCTGAATTGTTCAGGAGTTCAAGAAAATACCTGATCCATTCTTATTCCTCAGTTTTTTTTTTTTTTTTTTTTTTTTCAGTGAAAACTGTAGCTAGAGTTTTCCTGCCTGGCCCACAGTCAGGACAAATCTCTGTCACCCGCCAGTCCCACAGCCTCTCAGACCCAACCAAGTAAACACAGAGACTTATATTGGTTACAAACTGTATGGCCGTGGCAGACTTCTTGCTAACTGTTCTTACAGCTTAAATTAATCCATTTCCATTAATCTATACCTTGCCACATGGCTCGTGGCTTACCGGCATCTTCACATGCTGTTTCTCATCATGGCGGCTGGCAGTGTCTCTCTGACTCAGCCTTCCACTTCCCAGCTTTATTCTCCTCCTTGTCCCGCCTATACTTCCTGCCTAGCCAATGACCAATCAGTGTTTTATTTACCAACCAATCAGAGCAACACATTTGCCATACAGAACATCCCACAGCAGAAAACATCTTTTCAGCAGTATTTAATTGCTGAAATAAGTAAAATGTAAAAATGATTGCACTTTCTAACCAAAACTGCTTCTGAGAACTTATTTCAAGAACATAATTCAAAAAGAAAACTAGCCGGGCGGTGGTGGCGCACGCCTTTAATCCCAGCACTCGGGAGGCAGAGCCAGGCGGATCTCTGTGAGTTCGAGGCCAGCCTGGTCTCCAAAGCGAGTTCCAGGAAAGGCGCAAAGCTACAGAGAAACCCTGTCTTGAAAAACCAAAAAAAAAAAAAAAAAAAAAAGAAAACTAACAGTATACACAGATGTGTGTATGTGTGGGGGAGCGAGAGAGAGACATACAGAGACAGACAGACAGACAGACAGACAGACAGACACACACACACACACACACACACACACACACACACACACACACACACTGTGGGGGTGGGTGGGGATTAAACCCAGGGCCTCATGTTAGGCAAGCACTATGTATTGGCTAGTTTTATGTCAACTTGACGGAAGCTAGAGTTATCTGAAAGTATAGAATCTCAATTGAGAAAATGTTTCCATAAGATCAGGCTGCAGACAGTAGGACATTTTCTTAATTAGTGATTGATGGGAGAGAGCCTAGCCCATTTTGGGTGGAGCTACTCCTGGGCTGGTAGTCTTGGGTTCTATAAGAAAGCAGACTAAGCAAGCCATGATGAGCAAGGCAATAAGGAGTACCCTTCCATGGCCTCTGCATCAGCTCCTGCCTCCATCCTGGCTTGTGTGAGTTCCTGTCATCACTGTTCTTATCTAGGGACTTATTGCTCATCTTATATTTGCAAAGGATAAGGCACTACTATCTTTGAACATTAAAATACACATAATTCAAAACTTTTCAGAAACTTTCTAAAAATTATAGCTAAACATTACTCTAGTCAAGTAATCAGTGAATCTGGTAACAATCTAGTTGTTCCTGTTGCCTGGGGATCAAGATGCAGAACTCTCAGCTCCTTCTTGAGTATCATGTCTGCCTGCATGTAGCCATGTCCCTCCATGACGATAATGGACTAAACCTCTGACACAGTCAGCCAGTCCAATTAAATGTTTTCCTTTATAAGAGCTACCATGGTCATGGTGTCTCTTCACGGTAATAGAAACCCTAACCTTCCTGGGTTATTTATCTTTTACATTTATGCATCAATTTATTACCTTATTACAATCATGACTGTATATTCTTATAATGAAGAATTTGCTGAACAGGGTTATGCAAAGTGAAAAAACCAGAGTCAACATTTGACATGTTAGAAAGGTCACCTTGGCTCTCTGAGGCTTAGGGCTAAAGCAGGCTGTGCTGAGGATACTTCTGGCTGGAAGAACTTGGAAAGGTGATGGGTTACTATAAATAGCACAGTAATTTATCTCTGCAATGGAAGGCGACCATAAATCTTGGAGGCAGGAAAAATGGATCTATTTCCAAGCTTTTTCTCTTCTAGTGTTTCTTTTATTATTTTATCTCTATCTTGTATCCAGAACAGAAGCTAGGTAGCCTTGAGAAGAATACTTCTCATCTGCCTCTAGATGCAGCAGGCAGGAAAGGGGTGTGTGTGTGTGTGTGTGTGTGTGTGTGTGTGTGTGTGTGTGTGTGTGTGTGTGTGTACATGCACATTTAAGTCCCATACACAGATATGTACTATCTTGTGGCTTCACAGCATCTACTGCAACATGCTAGCTGTTCCTGGCTCTTGTGGACTAAAGGCAAAAGAAGGATTTGGGGTGGTATGGGGTATAATACATCTGAGGAACATGACCAAAGCTTCCACTGTCTTTATTGTTAGACAGATCCTAAGGCCAAACTCCAGTATACAACTTAATCACTAAAAAACACTGGACCTAAGTCTTGGCCATTACTGGGAAGACAGATAACTAGTATCTGGGCACTAAAACACCCCGAAGCCTCTCACTGGGCCAGAAAGAGGATCTGGTCTCTTTCAGATAAATAGTTCTGGCTCAGGGTTATCATTTATAAAGGCTGAGCCACTCACATCACCCCACCACTCTTGATCTATTTATGTGGGTGCCCTGGGCTGCATTATGGGAGGCTAACCTTCCATCAGAGTAACAGATGGCAGGGGTGAGGTGGTGGGAGTGAGTTGGCAGGGGTGAGATGGTGGGAGTGAGATGGCAGGGGTGAGATGGCAGGGGTGGGGTGGCAGGGTAGGGTGGCAGACTTGGTAAGGATTATTGGTTCTATTTATATGAAGAAAATTTAACATGGTCCTACAATTTCCTTAAAGGGCTTCCTGCCTATGAGAAGGGCTGACCTCATATAGTCAGGATCAATGGATGCCCAGATGGCCTGGATGGCTCTAGTCATAGAGGAAATACTGACGAGAGGGGAAATGTGGTGACATATTGTGTACCCTAATAAAGCTTGCCTGAGGATCACAGGACAGAGGCAGCCACCAGATTAGACATAGAGGCCAGACAGCAGTGGCACACACCCTTAATCCTATCACTCGGGAAGCAGAGATCTGTCTGGATCTCTGTGAGTTCAAGGCCATACTGAAAACAGAGCCAGGCAGTGGTGGCACACACCTTTAATCCCAGTACTGGGAAGCACACATGCCTTTAATCCCAGGAAGTGATGGTTGGATGGACAAAGGTCTATAAGGCGTGAGGAAACAGGAACTAAAGGCTTTTCAGCAGAAGCATCCCTTTCAGCTAGAGGATTTTTTGGCTAGAGCCTTTCAGATGAGGACTTAGAGGATTTCAGTCAGAGGATTCGTGGAATTGGTGAGGTGAGACGTGGCAGTGGCTTGTGCCTTTGTCTCTCTGATCTTTCAGCATTTACCCCGGTATCTGGTACTGGGTTTTTTATTATAAGACCAATTTAAGATTTGAGCAGCAGGTAAACTTAATTCTACCGAGGGACTGACCTGTGGACTACAGCAGGGTTTTCTCACCCTCAACCCTGCTACATTCTTCCCTGCTGTTGAGACTTATGCTGCTCTCTCTTTAGCCAGCTGACCATGACATTTTATCTGTGTTGGCCACAAGAATCGTTTCCCTTTTTTTGAGACAGGGCGTCACTCTGTAGCTTAAGCTATCTTTGAACTCACGATTCTTCTGCCTCATCTACCTGAGTGCTGAGATATAGGAATGCACCATCAGTTCAGCATCAGAATCATTTTTTTTTTTTAACATTTGTTTTTGTTAGGCTAGATGTGGTGGCTCATGCCTTTAATCCCAGCACTATAGAAGGAAGAAGCAGATAGATCTTTGTGAGTTTGAGGCTAGCCTAGGCTACACAGCTAGTTCCAGGCCAGTCAGGGCAACATAGTGAGAGCTTCATTTAAAAAAATTATTATTATTATTATTATTATTATTATTTGTGTGTGTGTGTGTGTGTGTGTGTGTGTGTGTGTGTGTGTGTGTGTGTGTGTGTATAAGAGAGGGGGGGCAGAGAGAGGGAAGGGGAAGGAGAAGAGTGGGAGAGAGGTACACATTCATGTGAGTGCCAGCAGAGGCCAGAAGAAAGTGTCAGCTCTCCTGGAGCTAGAGTTACAGGCAGCTGTGAGCTTCCCACTGTGGGTGCTGGGTAGTGAATTCCAGTCCTTGGCAAGAGTAGCAAGTGTTCTTAACTGCTGAGCCATCTCTACAGCTCCTGTTCTAATTCTTATAATTCAAATCTAGCAGCTGCTAGACTTAGAGTTTTGTCTTCTCAGCATAGTATTCCATTTCTCTATGGAAAAAAAATTTAAAAATCAGGTCTCAGGTGGGGGCCTTCAACCATGATGGGGTATATGATTTAGTTATGGTCAATCACAGTATGCCATTTTTTTCTGGCTGAAGTGATAGCTTTAGCAAGTCATGTGATCTAAGAAAGATAAATGTAAAAATTTTACCTGGATCATTTCAGTTGAGTTAAATTGGAAATTTACATTAAAAAAAACAAACTGTTGAAGTCTGGGTATATAACCTAGTGATGCTCAGCATATGCATGTAGGTCTGGGTTTATTGCCTGCACCACAGAAACAAGCCCATATAAAATAAATAATTTGACATCTAGGAAGTAGTAAAGGTAACTCACGAACACCCAGCTCCCCATTTATCATTTCACACTGGATACTGACAGCAGATGATCATATCTGTGGGTAGAGCAAGCTGACTTAAAAATAAACTCAAACAAAACTGTGGCAGAGCCCTGAGGATACTATCCCAGCCCTTTACTCCAGCTAACCCTAAAGCCATGGCCACCTCCAGATTTTCTTTTCATTTGAGCCAGATGCCTTCTACATCTTTCAGGAAAGTTGTGTTTGAAAAACAGAGACTTCAGCCTGGTCTACAGAGCTAGTTCCAGGACAGCCAAGGCTACACAAAAAAAAACCTGTCTAAACCAACCAACCAAACAAACAAAACCAAAAACCAAATAAACAAAAAACCAAACACCCACCCCCAAAAAAACAAAAACCAAAAAACGAAAAGCCCAGAAACTTTATAAAAAAATTTGAGAGAATAAAGCAAAAGGGGACTTCCAGCTCTATTAAAATCATCAGCATTTCAGGCCCAATGTGTCAGTCCTCACCCACCACCTCCATGAATTTAAACTATATAACATACAAACCATTGAGAGACGTAACAGGGATAAGTACTTCCAAACCTAAAGCTACCTGACAACAAAACGATGAAGATCCAGACAGGCACTGTATCTCGGACTCTGAGTTATTCTCAAGGGAAGCATGAATGAATGAATGAATGCAGTCTCTCCTTTTTGGCATTTGTGCACACCATTCTTGGAGTGCCGTGAGCTGTTCTGAAGATTCTTGTTCCTCCACCATTCGATTTGATAGAACAATATTTACCATTTTGCTTCTCTAATTCTTGCTTGACATCTTCATACACTTGAGAAAAGAGGTCCTCTTCAGATCTTGTTCCATCTAGGTAAACTGAGAAGTGGGAAATAGCAATTTAAATGTTAACAGGCTTATTAATAAAGGATGCTTTGGCATTTCTTTAAAACACCAATAGCTTTCACCAAAGAACCCAGAACTGTGACCTAAGGAAGGAAGGAGGGAGGGAAGGAATGAAAAGAGAAGGAGACAGAGGTTAAGCATTGTGCACATGGCATTCACTGTATACCTATTTCTTCTGCATTGGGACATTCCCTCCTAGAGGGAGGAAGGAGGCTCATAAGACTCCAAAGTAAATGAACTCACTGGCTCATGTGTGGTGATATATTTTGTATCAAATAAAGCTTACATGAGGATCAGAGGACAAGCCAGCCACCAGATTAAACACAGAGGCCAGGCAGTGGTAGCACACACTTTTAATCCTAGCACTTGGGAGGCAGGTATCTGTCTGGATCTCTGTGAGTTCAAAGCCACCATGGACTACATGAGATTGATTCTGTTTAGGAGAGAAACATAACCAGGCAGTGGTGGCACACACCTTTAATATCAGTACTTGGGAGTCACACACCTTTAATCCCAGCACTTGAGATCTCATGCCTTTGCTCCCAGTATTTGGGAAGCACACACACCATTAATCCCAGCACTAGGAAGGAAGTGAAATGGCTGGGCAGAGAAGGGCATATAAGGCATGAGGACTCAGGAGCTTTCAGTCAGAGGATTCGTGGAGACAGGATCTCGCCTTCCATTCGGCCTGAGGGGTCTGTTGTGGTGAGAAGTTTCTCTAGTGGCTTGTTCCTTTGTCTCTTGATCTTCCAGCAAGCTTTATTTGATACACAATCACCACACTCACGGAGCTCCTGAGATTCACAAGGCCCCTTGCGAAGGTTACATCAGCAGCAACTGCTGGGGACAGAAGACTCTCCCATGCCCAGAGCAGCCAGGAGGTTGTACAAGAAGCTCCAGGGATTCTGCTTAGAGGAGGTGTTGCCATGGTGACATGGACTTTTTTGGTGATGCAACTGTCTTTGAGTCATCACGCTCCTGTAAGTAACCCCAATAAACTCACTGGCTGACTAAGCTGGATGTGGGCAGTTTCTTTGGTTTGTTCTTGGTGCCTGACTATCACAGAATGGCAGGAGACTGCAGTGGTGCCTGGCCTCAAGAGGAGCAATTCCCCTACCCAACACATGGCCCAACTGGGATCATCTGTGACGCTTTTAAAATGTGTGTCAGTCTGGACTTTACCACACACTACCGAGACCAGAGGGATACGTATTTACATAGTTTCAGCAAAACTGGCATGAACACTTTTCGAGAAAGAGAAGTTACCTGGGTTAAAGAAAAAATGACCCTCTAGTCATAAAACAGCAAGAATGAGGAGATCTGAAGAGAAGTTGCCTGTTGGGAAGTGTGAGTGGCTAGCAGCAGAGGAAGGAACAGCATGGGAGATGATGAGAGAAATGTGTCTTGCTGTCTTTCTAGATTTTTTTATTTTCCCAAAGAGCTGGAAACCATGGACTGACTTCATTTAAACAGGGTGACCTAGTTTCTTTTCTGGAGTTTTGATAAAAACACTCTAACCAAAAGCAACTTGGGGAAGAAAGGGTTTATTTGGCTTAGACTTCCAGATCACAGTTCACTGAGGGAAGTTAGGGCTGGCAGGCAAGGTGAGAACCAGCCACAAGAACTGTGGAGGAATGCTGCTTGCTGGCGTGCTCTCTGCTCGATCGGCTAGCTTTCCTCTACAGCCCAGGCCTAACTGACTACAGAGGCATTGCTCACAATGAATGGAGCCCACCCACATCAAGCGTCAGTCAAGACAATCTGTCACAGAGATGGCCACAGGCTGACACAATCTAGGTAATCCCTCAATTTGGACTCCCTCAGAATGACTCTAGGCTGTGTGAATTTGACAGCTGACATTAACGAGGCCAAAGAACGAGGACAAAGTTAGACTTGTAGTTTAGATGGAGGGAGCGAAGTGTGTAGGAGGATGTTTCTCCTGTCCGGCACAGCAGCTGCTGGGACAGCACAACCCAACAACAGCTCTGAGGTGGACTCTGTGCCCTTGCTGCACAGATCTCAACAGAGCTACCTTCCCTGGAGGCCAACAGGCTCCTTTCAATATGGATGAGTCTCCTTTGCTCTGAAAAGTATACCAGTCCGATTCCTCTGATGTCCTGTCCAATAGACTTATGCCACTCTCTCCCCATGAGCGCTGTATAAACACTCCAGTGACAGTCTCTTAGCTCAAGGCCCAAATATTCATATTGCCTCCAAACTGGTACATTGTCTCTCAGGTACCTCAATCTTATTTCTTGCAAAACACATTTGTCCTACCTCACATATCTACAACTCCTTCATGTTTTCTCCCCTAAAATATCACCTGCTAGTTCCTGGCGGTGTCTGTCATCTTCAACACCTTTCTGCCCCAGTTCTACTGAGTACTTGTGTTCAATACTGCAACCTCTATATCTACCCTTCGGATCACGAGAGACCCTACTGAAAAGCGTAAGTATCAACCACAACCGTGTGTAGAGCCTGTCTGCAGAGAGCTTCCCTAGGACAGCCTACTAGCATGAGAGGGCCCGGCCTTGGCCTGTATCAACAGCCATAGCACATCCTCCCCTTGCTTTCTCTACTACAAACACAACAACCTCTTTTGGGTATTTCTCGTGCCTTCCTGTTCCTAGGTCTTTTCTCGGTTCTTCCTATGATCTGGATGACAATCATTCCTCCTAACTTAACTATCCCCTGCCCGCCCCACCCCAAGGCAGCTACACACAGGAGTTTAGTGACAGTTTTCTCAAGGGACCTGGAGGTGGGCAGTCCAGTCTCCCTGGTGCTTAAAGTCAGTGCTTACCTGGAGAAAAGACCTGTTTGTAAAGCTCACACTTTTAAAGCAGTTTTCCTGTGAAATCTGAGCTGGGTGAGGTAGAGACTGGGTCTGCCTCTCTTACCTTACCTTCAGGCAAGGGTAGGTCAATGAATGATCACGTGGACTCCAACATGCTTGACAAGGAGAAAAAGAAACCAGCAAGAACTGGTTTCAGAGGAGAGGATCCCTGAGATTGCCTGAGCATCTCTTTAAAAACTCCCTGAGAAAAATGATTTCCAAGTAATCCTTCCTGTACTTTGACATAAATGAGAAGTAAAAGGCCTTAAGAGAAAGGGGGGAGGTACTTACCGATCTCCCAGGTGATGGCGTTCATTTCTTGTTTGTGCTTTAGGTACATGGGCCACACGTGACCATCAAAATACCCTGGGGGGTCAGGAGGCTCATACACCCTTGTACTGGAAAAACATGCAGGAAACTTGATGTTCATACAAAATTATGACTGACAAAGTAAATGAATCCAGTCAAAATAATGTGAAAATCACTCATGTTAAATCTAAAGAGGAATTCAGCCTTTTTTTAAAAAAAAACTCAATCACAGTGAGAAAAGTAGCAAAATGGACTTAGTTCCATAATTCAAACCATAAGCCTGTAACTCATTAACACTCACAATTACCTTTTCTCAGCCTCCGGTGTTTTATAAAAGAATTATGGGACAAGTACAAGAGGAAATAAGGAGTGAGATATGGACAGGCTGGCTTCCTCACCTATTTAGCTGGTGTTCTCTGTAGTGATAGCAGAACCTGGGCACGGAGGCTGAGGAGGAAGGAGCTCACAGGATGATGCTGTGGGATGTTCTGTATGGCAAATGTGTTGCTCTGATTGGTCAATAAATAAATCACTGATTGGCCAGTGGCTAGGCAGGATGTATAGGCAGGACAAGGAGGAGAATAAAGCTGGGAAGTGGAAGGCTGAGTCAGAGAGACACTGCCAGCCGCCACGATGACAAACAGCATGTGAAGATGCTGGTAAGCCACGAGCCACGTGGCAAGGTATAGATTTATAGAAATGATTAATTTAAGCTGTAAGAACAGTTAGCAAGAAGCCTGCCACGGCCATACAGTTTGTAAGCAATATAAGTCTCTGTGTTTACTTGGTTGGGTCTGAGCTGCAGTGGGACTGGCAGGTGAGAGAGATTTGTCCTGACTGTGGGCCAGGCAGGAAAACTCTAGCTACAGGATGACACTGGACCTTCTTAGAGAAGTTCCGTGTACTACCCCAGGGGATGAGCACTTCTACAAAAAACGTCTGACTTCTGATATAAGGCTTGATCAATAATGCCACTTTCCTTGTTTTCCATTTCATCTTTTGGATAACAATGCACAGAGATGGTTTCTAAACATACCTCCTCCTCCTCTTACATTCTTCATAGGGAATGGTTAGGAAGTAACTTCTGTTCCATATGGTGTCCAGTGGCCTAAGATAACAACACTCAGTTCACAAGGCTCTGTCTCCCACCCCTGCATTCCTTCTGGTTGGTGTTAGGGTGGGGAGGCTTACCTATAGTTAAAGAGAAGGAAACCTTCGATAATTAAGATGGGAATGCCTTGAGCACTTTCCAAGGCTACTCGTCCCACAGAGTGTCCTGGGTTTTCCATCCAACATGAAACGGCTGACATCATTTTTTCCATGTTAAGCGCTTCGAGCACTGAGACAAACATAAAACATATGAAATCAATATAGCAAACTTTTTTTTTAGGTGGTTGGCTTTTGTGATAAGTATCTCCAGGGCCCTATAAATGTATGACATAAGAGCATTTCACTTATCCTTCAAGGTATCTAATAATAAATATTTAAAACACCCAATTAAAACACTAATAGAGATATATGTAAATGGTCTGAGACACTTATAGTGGAAAAACAAAGATGTACAAATGTAAAATACAATGAACAGCATGCCACTATTTCTAGCTGTAATTTTTTTTTTGATGTATTTATTGTGTATGTGTTGGGGTCAGAGGACACCTTGAGGGATCCAGTTCTGTCCTTCTACCACGGGGATCCTAGGGATGGAACTCAGGTTGTCAAAGTGCCTTTACTTACTGAGTTTTCTCCCCCGCCCCCAGCCTTGATACCATAAATTCACGGCTGACTATCCCATCAACTCCTTCCTGATATTGAAAAATTTAAAGTTTATGGTACTGGAGACTAAATACAGGATTTTGTGTGTGTTGGGTAAGCACTCAACTACTGAACTATATATCTCCAGCAAAATCTTTAAAAATCAAAATTAAATTAGGGCTGGAGAGATGGCTTGGTGGTTGAGTCCCCAATGCTCTGGCTGAGGAGCCCCTGTGGTACTGGACTAGGCCCTCTGGATAAGTGAGACAGCTGTTTGGCTTGAACTGTTTAGGGGACCCCTAGACAGTGGGACCGGGACCTGTCCTTAGTGCATGAGCTGGCTTTTTGGAGCCCAGTGCCTATGGTGGGACACTTTGCACAGCCTTGGTGCAGGGAGGAGGGGCTTGGACCTGCCTCAACTGAATGTACCAGGCTCTGCTGACTCCCCATGGGAGATCTTGCCTTGGAGAGGGTGAGAGTGAGGGGTGGGTTGGGGGGGGATGGCTGGGGAGGTGGGAGGAGGGAGGATGGGGGAAATCCGTGGTTGATATGTAAAATGAATGGGAAATCTCTTAATAAAATAAAAAGGAGAAAAGAGAAAAAAAAGAAGAAGAAGATTCATGGTCAATTCCCAGCACTGACATGGTGGCTCACAGCTGCCTGTAATTCCAATTTTGGAAGACAAAATAAACTATAGATACATTTGAAAGATAAATAACATATCATAATCTATTTGGAAAGTAGCTACTATTTTTAATTGTAAAGGATATCTTATAGATGAAAAGTTTTTTTTTAAATGTTCACAGGTGTTTTGCCTGCTTGTATGTCTGTACATATGTGTTCAGTGCTCACAGATGCCAGAAGAACACATCAGATCCCCTGGAAACTGAAGTTACATACAGTTGTAAGCTGCCATGTGGGTGCTGGGAATTGAACCTATCTGCTAGAAGGGCAATCAGTGACTAATCACCAAGCCCAGATCTCTCCAGTTCTACATGAAACCTTTAAAAAGTTATAGGATACAAATGTCATTGTAAACCCTGAAATGTGCAACTTCTAGAGCTAACAAGTATGGATCTACAGAAGCAGAACATGTATTCCTTATGCACGGTCTTCAGACCAGACCAGCAACTTGTCAGACATAAAAATTCTCAGCCTCATGCCTGGACCACTAATCACACCATGTGCCCTCCCAAGTGTTCCTACGGGAAAGTTTTAAAGGGTGGTCTAATTAAGTTAATAGAGATAAGACTATTAAGATTTTCTATGGTTATCCTGCTGGTTTGGCTAAGTGTCACTTTTTCCAGGAAACTGTCAGTTTCATCAGTTTACAAATAAATCTCATAGGAATATCCACGACTGAGGCAAGCACACATGTGCACAGACATACAAGCAGGCAAAGTACCAGGGCTTCTTTTCAACATCTGTAGGGTCTACGATCCCGCTGCTTCCCATGGTTGCTATTTGTAACTTGTACCTCCCCTAATTACTTCTTGACCCATTTTGTTGAACCCCTGTGGGGGTCACTCAGATTCCTCAAACAACAGGTTTATGTCTCCTCTCAACGTGAAGTCTTCACTATTATGTTACTGAGTCCTTGTTCCCTCTTTCTGAAACTCCATCGGTAGAGATGTTAGGTCTTTTGCTATCACTCCATCTTTCTCAATGTTCTCCCATTCAGAGTAATTTCTACCACGTGTTCAAGTTACAACTCTTTTTCTCTCATATTTATTTTTCCACTGAGCCTATCCAGAGAGTTGTAAGACTTGGGTTATTACACTTGTTTCAGTTACCAAATTTCTTCTTGACTCCTTTTTTGCATTTCTATTTCTTTCCTGGAGCATTTAAACTTTTCTCTTTCAAGCCTATCTACAGTTGCTTGCTGACCCTTTTTTACAAAGCCACTTTAAAAATCTTTGTCAGACAATTTCGACAGCGTCATCACAGAATTGGTGTTTATCAGCCATTATTTCTCTAATTCAAGTTGAGATTTTCCTGCCTCTTTGATTGACATATGCCTTTCAGGTATGTCCTGATGATCTGGGGTACTGTGTATTGAGGCTACTATCTAATCTTATTTTGCAGCCAGTCACTCTGAAGTGCACCCAGATTCAGAGGGGCATGTATGTTCAGTATCCTTACAATACCAGGTGGGTAGGAGGGGGTCATAGAGGGAAAAAGGTTCATTGCTGCTGCATGAAGGCAGAAGATCAGGCTTCCACTGGTTCCTGATGACAGCAGCTGACAAGGCCTGGGTGAGGAAGACAGAGGGGCAGCCTACACATCCTACCCCGTCTCATTCTGCCAAAGTTTGGAAATTTGGTTCACTGTTTGGTGTATCCCTAAGTTTCTCTGGTCTCACCCGGGCCTGCAGCTGCTTATAAAATAATCACTCAGAGGCTTATATTAATTATCAACTGGATGGCCTATGGCTCAAGCTTCTGGCTAGCTAGCTCTTATAACTCCACCCATTTCTATAAATCTATATGTTGCCACATGGCCATGGCATTACCGGTCTGGTGACATCTTACTCCTTTGGCAGCAGCTTGGCATCTCTCCCTGGTCTCCTTTCTCCTTTCCCTATCTCTCTTGGATTTTCCTGCCTGGCTCCATCCTGCCCTGCTATAGGCCAATACAGCTTTATTTATTAGCCAATGGGAGCAACATATATTCACAGCATACAGAAAGACATCCCACAGCAGTTTGGCTCTGCTAAATCTCCTGTGGGCGATGTAGAGGCCAAGTTACTCCACATTGCTGGTGGCAGGTTAAGGTCTTGGGGTGTAGCCCTCCACTGGCCCTGTGGATACAGCAGGGGAATAAGATTTCCCTTTTGTGCCTAGCTAAAGCAGGAGAAAAGGAAACTGTATTCTGGTAGGCCACCCTTATTCTGGTCCCTTGGTTGTAGGTTTCTTGGTGCTTTTTATGTTCATTGATGTTCATGTTGCATACATTTCCAGCACTCCAGGTCATACATGGGAAGAAATAAAGAAAACACAGTGTCTTAGGGTTTCTATTGCTGTGAAGAGACACCATGACCAAGGCACCGCTTATAAAGAAAACATTTAACTGAGGCAGCTGCTAACAGTTTCAGAGTTTTAGTCCATTATCATTTTGGTGGGACGTGGAAGCATGCAGGCAGATATGGTGCTGGAGAGGTAACCAAGTGTCCTGCATCTTGGCTTATAGGCAATAGGAAGTGGTCTGAGTATCACACTGAGGGAAGCTTGAGCAAAAGAGACCTCAAAACCCACTCCCACAGTGACACACTTCCTCCAACAAGGCCACACCTACTGCAACAATGCCACACCTCCTAATGGTGCCACTCCCTTTGGGGCCATTTTCTTTCAAACCACCACACCTCAGCCAGCATGCTGTCTTCTTTTTCAGTCCTCTTTTCTCTGTTATATTGTGTCGCAGGTTCTGGCTCAGTGAATGAGGCCAATGACAAGGGGGCAGAGAGTTAAAACCTTTCCTACGTTTCCTAGGGACCTATCTGTTAGTCCATGGAGTCCATGTGTCTTACTTCACACAAGATGTGATGATACTTAGGATTTGCTAAAAAAAAAATGCAGTTATGATAGAAAGTAAATTAGGTGTAAAACTTTGGATTCACTAAGATAGGATGGATAGTGCATTATTTTCTCTGAAGATGCTAACTACTCACAGAGATCCGCCTGGCTCTGCCTCCCGAGTGCTGGGATTAAAGGCGTGCGCCACCACCGCCCGGCTTGATAACTGTTTTTGTTGTATATACTTTTACTATGTTAAAGCTAACCCTTTTTTATTTATTTAGTTTTATACCTAATTTACTTTCTATCATAACTAAGGAAAACTATAATTCTAATTTATACCTAATTTATTCTAATTTATAAATTAATTGTTTTTTCATTTTTCATTTTACAAAATGTTTTCTAACTTTTGGAAGAAAGAAAGAGAAAAAACAACGTATCAGGATTGAACTTGACATAGAACAGCAAAGAAAGGACTTGGTCTGAAAGTTACTGTGTGTCTGCAAGAACTGTTATATAACACCGAATCCTCGGACCCACAAAGTTGAAGATAAGGAAGAGGACATTTTAGGAAAGTTCCCTTGGATGGTCTACATACATACTAATAATAGCCTGTTACATGACATTTTAGGAGAGCACCCTCAGTTGGACTACATACATATTAACGATAGCCTGTTAATTACAAAAGGCAGTAAGAACAAAAACTCTAGTCTGCTAGTCTCTGGACGAAAAGAAATGCTTTCAAGCTGACTTGAATTCTTTGGCTTCCAAACAGTATCAGCTTGGGTCAAGAGAATAAAGTGAGTCTAAAAACCATTCCAAGATTTTCTCCATAGTAAAACAAACAAACACACTTCCTGGTGCTTTGCAACCAGGAAGAGAAGCTGAAGGCCTGAAAGCTTAGTCTGGTGTAGATGAAATATTCTGGTGGGCGAGGGTCAAAGTGTAAGCATGGCTAGTCACATATGCCAGAATCAGGAATGGACAGAAGGATGGCAAACCTACCCTGTCCTAGCTTCTGGAAAAAAAAAAAAAAAATCTACCATCCCAGTTTTGAGTTTGAAATATACATCTTCAGGAAAATTTCTGTTTACTTAAATAGTTAACAGAGATCATAAAAACCTACAAAGGCAGGCTTAAAATACAGTGATATTTAAGAGAGAGAGAGAAAGAAAGAGAGAGAGATGTGTGTATGTGTGTGTGTGTGTGGGGGGGGGTGGTGTAGGGGGAGCTGCATGCCACAGCACACTTGTAGAGACCAGAGGACATCTTGTGGAGGCAGGTCTCTCCTTCCACCTTTACAAAGGCTCAAGGGAATCAAGCTCAGGTCTTCAGGCTTGTGTGACAAGTGCATTAATCCAGGGAGCCTGCCTGCCCTCTCTATTTAAACATTTAACATTATGTTAATAGAGAGAGGCATTGTTTGGATTTGAGAAAGAAAATGAATATAAGCTCATAATATTTTACATGTGACTCTACTTACCATCATACTGCAAAAATCCATTTTCATCTGTGTCTATCTCACACTCTGGCTGGAAAAGCAATAAGACATAAAATCAAAATAGTATGAAGGGCAGAAATGATGCAATTATACAATTAAGCCTTTAATAAATGCTTTGGATAATGAGGAACAAGAGCAAAGACGGTCACTGACAGATGGTGCCATCTAGTGGGCAGGTAACACTATTCGCCAAGTTCATCCTCAGCCAAAGCTTTTGGATATAATTTAATTAGCTTTGTTATTACACCTTTTTGTGTTCAATAAGTTATCTAAGAGACTTCATACGTACCTTGAAGAAGTCATCCTGGGATATTATGCTGCAATTGGGAAGGTGTTTCTGCAAGTTCTTAGCCAGGGTTGTCTTCCCACCATTTGTCACGCTAAGCCAAGAAAAATCACGAGGCCCAAGAAGACATTAGGGAACAGGGAACATTCTTCAACAATATTTTTTAAAAGGATATTTAAAACAATATTTACTGCTTGAGATAGAAATGCTCATTTTCACTGATCATGTTTTGTTTCGCAGGCAACAATCACAGGTTTGAAAGACAAGCCACCCTAACAGTAAGAGACGAATGAAGGATGGGAAGAGGCAAGTGACAGTCGGGTAAGTGAACTGGACACTAGAACTTCAGAACACAGACAACGTTTTCACTATCTAAACAGCTCTGGGTTCGATACACACTCCAGAGAAGTCCTTGACACACCTTTCTGCAAGTTTATAGAACTGCCCACAGTCATTGTGATTGTTTCAACCACACAGGAAAAAAAAGAGGAAAAAAACTCTGCCTATTAGAAGCCCACCTACCAAGAGCCCACATTTCCTGAGCTATGTATGCCTCTTTCCCCTCTCTCTATAGCTGGGGCCCATGTAGAGGTCCAGGGTCACTTCTCCCATCAGGTCAGTTATTTGTTCCCTCTGGCTGGGCTGTGACATCTGGGGGCACGGGTACCCGATTAACTTATGTGTCCTGTTTCTTTCTCTCCTGCAGGTGAGAGGCATTTCTCTAGCCAATCTTTCTTTTCTTTTTGGGTTCTTCTTTGAACCGGGTGTCGCTCTGCAGTCCATATTGACCCCTAACTGGGTAGCCCAGGCTGCACTTGAATTTACAGTGAACCTTTTACCTCCTGAGTACTGGGATTACAGGTATCAGCCACCAAGCCTGGCTTATTCTACCAGTTTTGCAAAGAGGTGATTGGCTCAGAGCTCAGTCATACCCAAAGGGTCTGTGAAAGAATTCAGGGTCGTTGTGAATTTGAAAGGAAAGAGACTGCACCATTTTCACTAAATTCTAACAGGAAGTTAGCAGCTCCTCTTATTATAAGTAGTAATTTACTGTAGTGACGGTGCCTGTGATTTGGGGCATCTACAAGAACTGCACCCCTTTTCACACTGAGCTGTTGAAATGTCACAGGTGCTCATTATTGTTTTAAACTTAATATATGCTATTTATTACACTAGCAATGAACTATCACAAGGTCACAGATCTGTTTACAAATATTTTTATCTGCATGTTAATACAGTTAATTTTCTTTGTATTCCTGTATCTTATTTTGTGCATTTAAAGTTGCCCTGAAAAGAGGTCAAGATTTTACCACACACCAAATGTTCAAAGCACAAAACTCTTGACTATACATCTATTGGCAAGAATCCATGACTAGTTCTGGTTAAGACCAACATGACAATATTTATAACCTAGGGAGAGAAATATGCTCATCCAAAGTACTTGTTGTGAGGCTGGGCATGGTGGCGTGTGTCTTTAATTCTAGTACTCAGGAGCCAGAGGCAGGTGGATCTCTTGTGAGTTCAAGGCCACCCTGGTCTACAAAGTGAGTACCAGGCCAGCAAGGGCTACATAATGAAACTCTGCTGCATTTAAAACAAAAACAACCAACTCAAAATCACCAAAAAGACCCATCCTACCAAACAATAACAACAACAAACTCCCCGAAAATGCTTATTGGATATAAATTATTGTACCTTATACCTGCAAAGTAGAAGATATTAATAATAAGACTGTCCATTTTACCTTACAATACACAGGTAGGTATTGAGAACATTGATATGACCTTTTCTTTTTTTAACAAAAAAAAAATGTCTCTAAACCATACTGCAAGTCCATATTCAAGACACTGAACTTTAGTTTAAAATGAGGAAACTTTACTATGGTCTGAGAAATCTGGCCAGAAAAATGTGTCATTTCTTATACTTTCTCTTTAAGATCGTGTAACTAAATCAACAATAAATAGACCCCTCCCCACTGATTCAGCTGAAGACACAGAGAAGGAAGTGCTTTCCATAGGAGTGGAAATGGACTAGCTGCGAAAGAGTTTCATCATTGAGCACAGAGACTGTAATACATGCTTGTAACCATCCCAGTGGGTCAGGTGATGCCTCAGGACCCACTCCTTCCCGGTCAGCAAGCTCAGAACCTCCTTCACACAACCTCTCTGTGTGAAGAGCTCCAGAGCATGGCTTTTGGATCTGAGGAAGGGAAGCAAGTGGCTACCCGATGCTTTCCTTTCCTTGTTTACAATAAACGTTTAGCTCCTCTTGTAGTAGGAGGGTGCCGAAGTACAAGCAGAAGCTGAAAACAGTGTTCACAGTTCATCAAACAAGACGAGAGAATACTTGGGTAACAAGGTGATATTAATACCCCATTTTCCATCCGAGGAAGGTGGGGCTTAGGAAGCTGCTTATCGCTGGAGGAGGAAGCAAAGTTTAATTACAGCATGGGTCCCCTGCTCCCCAGCCACGAGGATTAAACCGGTAGATGTGTGGAGGAAAATTAGAAGATTATAATTAGGAATTGACGGCCTACTTTGGGAAAGTGGCAGTGAGTGTGAAATGTAGGGCAAGACAAGAGTAGCCTTGCAGAATAACACAGCCGTGGCTCCGGGAAGACAGAAGCCACAACAGAGCACACTCTGATGCTCAATTCACTCTTATTTGCTTTTTTTTTTTTTTTTTTTTGTCTGATGCTGCGGTTAGAACCTAGGACCTCATACACGCAGGCAAATGCTCTACTACCCAACTACACCCAGTCCTATCTGACTCCTAATTGATGTAATATAATAACACAACAGATTATCTCTCTCAAATTACATCTGTAATATCTTAATGTCTTATCAATAAGACACACATGAAGAATGACAGACATAATCCAGTAGCAAGACAAATAATATCTTTCCAATTGTTGTTGCTGTCACATTTGCACATCATCCTCTGGTACCACAGGTCAGATGACCACGCAATTTAGAATACTTATGAAAGAGGGATTTGTGGCTAATATTACACCAGGGTAACATAAACTAGCCTAGCCAAATAGTTCACCTGGTTACCCTAAAGGTGGGGGAAGAGGGCTGGAGGAATGAAGGAAGCCTGTATTCCCAGGTCAAAGCTGGCCACAAAAAAAGAAGGGAGTGACCTCAACCAAAGGAATGACCAATCAGGTCTCAGCTCCAGTAAACAAATGGAACTGTTGGTAATACTGCTGGCCCTACTACTTCCTTCCCTGGGAAACCCTTTCCCCTCCCACTGGTGTTCACATAGCAGTCCCCTCCTGGGAATTGGGACTCCTCACAGCTTTCCCTACCATGGCCACATAAAACACCATCTGGATATCTGGGGTGTGTGGCCCAGCTGTTTATTGAGGAACTACTCACCCACCAATTCCAATGACAAATGTTTTCATAATGGGCTTTGGAAATCACGTCTTCTTAATATTTCCTAAAATTATAGAGAGAGATAAAAAATAAAATCAGTATCATTTAATTGTCTAGAGTTAGTACTGAAGAGAAGTCACAGCTGAGAGGGGATCAGTGGCCTCAACCCCACGATACCCACACTGTCTGCTTCCTGTTGCCAATAGCTGGTGTTTCCTTAGGGCCTGTTAACTAATGTCACGCTTGTGTGACCTGTTACCCTGGGTTACCTTGTGACAACTACTCTTAGTTGTCAACTTGACTACATCTAGAATGAACAAAAATCCAAGCAGCTGGGCACATCTGTGAGGGACTTTTTTTTCTTACTTAAATCATTTCTTACTTAAATCATTTAAATCATGACCTACTTTTATATTTTTCCTTTTTTTTGGTTTTTCGAGACAGAGTTTCTCTGTGTAGCTTTGCGCCTTTCCTGGAACTCACTTGGTAGCCCAGGATGGCCTCGAACTCACAGAGATCCGCCTGGCTCTGCCTCCCGAGTGCTGGGATTAAAGGCGTGCACCACCACTGCCTGGCTATTTTTCCTTTTTTTTTTTTTAATTTATTTTTATTTAATGTGAATTGGTGTTTTGCCATGGGTGTCGGGTCCCCTGAAACTACTCTAATTAATTAATTAGTTAATTAATTAATTTTGTAGACGGTGTGCCTGTGTGTCAGAAGAGGGCACCAGATCTCACTACTGATGTTTGTGAGCCACCATGTGGTTGCTGGGAATTGAACTCAGGACCTCTGGAAGAGCAGTCAGTGCTCTTAACCTCTGAGCCATCTCTCCAGCCCTGAAACTACTTTGAATCCAGATCTTCTGAGGTGGGAAGATACAGCTTCCGCTGGCAGCCTACAGAAAGACCATGGAAGAAAGGAGGTTGCTCTTTCCCCTCAGTGCTCTCGCTCTCACTGGCAACTCTACTCCTTCACTGATATTAGAGCCTGTTTCTTTGGAACTGTGACATATACTGAAGACAAGGTGAGACATCCAGCCTAATGGACTGAAAGACTGGTGGATTCTTGGACCTTCTGTTGGTAGACAGCCATTGTGACTGGTTGGACCACAGCCTGGAAGCCATTCCAATAAATCCCTTATATATATTTCTTTCTCCTGTAAGTACTGTTCCTCTAGAGAACTCTGACTAATATGCCCTCTATGCCCTTCCTACTTTCCTAGTAAAAGAAGCCACTGCCATGAGCGGCAGAGGCAAACAGAAGCCAGTCTGTCTCTCATTCCCTCCCTCTCTCTCTCTGAAAAGCTTTCACTGGTAATAGCATACATTCTCAAGCTTTGCAGAAGTGCAAACTGGCCCAGACTAGAATGACATATATCCATTTCTAGAAAAGCCAGAAAGGGAACTAGATCAATCAAGTGAGCATCTTCCTATCGTCGCGAGAGGCTCTGAAATGCTACATTACTAAGAGCACAAAGGGATGTTGTACGTGTACTGGCTTGTCAGGCTCTGGTGGATAATCCATGTCATACTTATTGATGTATTATTGAAAAGCCATATATTTGCCGTGCACAGTTATTGGAAAATTCTGTTCCCCTTCCTGCCTGACATATTTGTGCACATTCATCAGGATATTGCCTCAATTACATAGGATGTAAATAATGACTGGTTGTGGTACCAGAAAGACTTGAGGGGGGTTACCTCTGCAGGAACTCTAGGAATTCAGAGATGAGGAATGAAGTGGAAGAACCTTTGGGTAAGAGAGGTAGAAACTCCCACAGCCACATAAGGAAATGCAAGGTTGTTTTCTCTCTCAAATCAAAACAGCACCCCACACCCAAGCCTGATGACCTGAGTTACTCACTACCAGCTTGATGACTGGAGTTCGATCCCCAGAATTCACATGAAAGGAGAGAACTGATTCGTCTGAGTTGCCCTCTGACCTCTGCATGGCACTCATGTGTGTGCCCACGTATACACTAAATAAATAAGTGAAAAGTTTAAAACCCAGGTACCCCAAGTCTACATTAGTTAGCAACCTGGGACTATCCAAAGCAGTGTTTGGGTAAATGCTGGACCTATCTTACAGCAATGAGCAGGTGACAATGTGGGAGAGGAGAACTGGGCCATGCAGAAACAAGGCTGGGGCCAGGCTGGGTGGCAGTGTAGCAATGAGCAGCCTACCAATCCCTGAAGCTGTCCATTTCAAAACCTGTTAGATTTGCCAGGCAATTCACTCCAGGCTCAGACATGGCAGCAGCAACTTCCATTTCATCATAAGTTAGGACTTCTTCAAATATGGTTTAAAACCCAAATTTTTAACAAATTGCAATCAAGAGTTGTCATGCATATATGTATATGTATATATATGTATGCTGAAGGATTGTTTGTTTTGGGGGCTTTTCATGTGGTTCAGTGTGGCCTTAAAGTGGCTATGTAGTGGAAGATGGATGACCTTATATTGATCCTCTTGCCTCTACCATTCAAGTGGTGGCATTACAGGTGTGCACCTCTAAATCTGGCCTTGCAGCAGAGTATGTTATGAAGCACATACAACTTGGAGCAAAGATAAACTGTAAATCTTTTTTTTTTTTTTTTTTTTTTTTTTTTTTTTGGTTTTTCGAGACAGGGTTTCTCTGTGTAGCTTTGCGCCTTTCCTGGAACTCACTTGGTAGCCCAGGCTGGCCTCAAACTCACAGAGATCCGCCGGCCTCTGCCTCCCGAGTGCTGGGATTAAAGGCATGCGCCACCACCGCCCGGCAAACTGTAAATCTTACATTGCCTCTGGAGAAACAACCTTTTGAACTTCCCAGAGTTGTGAAATCCGCGTGTCCTAGCACCTCGAATCCTGGGTGGTATTTATGCAGTTTCTTTTACTCAGCGGCAGAGACCATCTGCCCAGGGACACAGGGAACAGAGAAAACAGACTCAGACAGGAGCAAACCTTAACTGAGTCACTTATATTTCTTTCACATTTATTTACTATTATACTTTTGAGACAGAATCTCACTATGTAGCCCGGGTTGGTCAGGAACTTGCTACACAGTCAAGGCTGCTTCTGTGGCAAAGCTACCTTCCTCTAAGTGCCGGGATCATAGGCATGCATCCATCACAAGACTGGCTCACTTACAGAATTTTTAAAAATATTTTTGTTACTCTTAGTGAAATGTTGAATCTTCTTCATAGTTGGCTTACGTTTATATTTGATCTACTCCACTTCTAAACATGGTTTACTCTGAATTCTAAAGTACAGAAAGCTCCCAGGGGCATGTGAAGAATCAGCAGGCTGGAAAGAGACAGTAACTCCACCACAAAATCTGAGAGATGATGAGGAAAAACACATGTGCTCTTCAGATGAGTTCAAGACACATGCTTTCAGGACTTCTGTGTTTTATTCAACAGTGATCTGAATATTCTCTCACGAATGGGACAATCTCTTGCTACTAATTTAAACTTTGATCCCTTTTGGTAAACAGAAATCTCCCACAGCTGTCCTGGTAAGCAAGGCCCAGGAGTATGGCCACCACAAAGCTCCTGGTAACCTATGCCTCTTGAAGTTTCACTCACTTTATTTTAAAATTAACCTTCAGTAGACACTTTGACACTCCATTTTATGAAGGTTCCTTTTTTTTTTTTTAATGCTTTATTACATTTGTATTTACGTTGTGTGAATGCCATGGATCACCACAGTACACATGTAGAGGTCATAGGTCTACTTGTGGGAGTCAGTTCTCTTTCCATCGTGTGGGTGCTGAAGATTGAACTCTGGTCATCAGGTTTGGCAGCTGAACCATCTTGCTGACCCTGTAGTTTCTTATGTAATCAATGTTTTCATTTTTATTTTTCTTTCCCCTAATATGCACTAGCCATATAATACTAATCATAACATTGTGAGTTTATGTGTACGTGAATACAGTCTCAAGAGATGAGCTGTTAGGTTAAGCTTGGGCAACTTTTGTCAAGTATCAGACAGTATATAGTTTTGGCTGCGTGGGCAACTATTCAACTCTGAAGTTGTAATGAGAAAGCTGTCACAATCAACGCATAAGAAAACGAGCTTAGTGTGTTCTAATAAAATTTAACAGACACGGAGATTTAAGTTTCCCCTAACTTTCATGTGCCACATGCCACAAAACACTATGCTTTTGCTTTTGTCTCAGCTATTAAAAACACCAAAAGCATTCTTAGAAGGCTTTATAAAAGCCAGGTAACAAGTGGATTGGAATTTGTTAACCAAATGCTGCAGAAAGGGGCGACCTGTCCCGTGGGAATCAAGACCCAGTTCTCCCACCAGCAAATGTGTAGTCACCTAGAGCTAGCTCCGGTGCCATGAAGAGCGGTAGCGAGCCGCATCCTAGGTGCACGAGTCCTAACGCGGTTTCCCTAGACGCAATCAGGTTCCGGGTCCGGCGCAGGAGACTCTGGAAGGTGCCCAGGCCTCGGCGTGGCTAGGCAGCGGGCAGTGAGTACTCACCGAAGCGGGTTCGAGTCCTCCCTAGCAGGGCCGCAGAACAGGCCGCACGAGGGAACCACTGCTGGTGGCTCACCGGGACTGTGCAAGCACCCTACCCGCTTTCATATTCCCAGCCAAGCAGGGCCCGGGGGCGTGGCCACCCTAAGGCTCCTCCCCCACGGGGAGGGCGGGGCCCCAGCACTCCGGAGCAGGCTGGACCTCCGAGGCTCCGCCGGGCTGCCCGCCGCAGCCAATCAGCGGCCGGCGAGGCGCGGCCACTTCCTGGTGGGAAGGCAGGGCGGTCTGCGGAGCTCGCTGGTCCGAGTGTCCCGCATCGGCTGCGCGCGGGTCCTGAGCGGCCGCGGCCAGCGCAGGCTTGGCGCCCGGTTCCCGTCTGCGTGTGGGGCTCCCGCGGCTGAGCCTGGCCGCTCCGCGAAGCGCCATGTCCAAGCCACCTCCCAAACCGGTCAAACCAGGTAAGAAACTCTGCGCGCTGCGCGTGCGGGTCTCCGGGCTGCGGGGCGCAGAGCAGGAGTTCCCGTGGAGCGCCCTCGGGCTCCCTCCGCACGGCTGGCCAGGACGTGCCAGCGAAGTGGTGACAAGCACCTAGGTCGCGGCCACTTCCTCATAGCTCAGCGTGTCGCTGTCAAGTTGGAGTTCTTGACCGGCCGGCGAACGGGAAGTGCGCTGCGGCTGGGTGGGGTTTGCGCCCGCTGCCTGCGGGGCCGGAGGAGAGCAGGCTGGGGATCCGAGGTCTCCCGGCAGCTTTGGAGAGCTGCACCCGGGCTGCCAGCGGGACAGTCTGGCCCCCGACCCTCTCGGCTCTTCGCTTGAGGCACTGTCGCTCTGTCGTGCGTCCTAGTGCTTTGCTTAGGGTGACTCTGGCGAACTAAACTGGAGAGAGCCCGAAGTTCCTCAAAGCAGTTTTCTTGACCACTCTTCCTGGTTCACTTTTTAAACGTTGTTCTTAGAGTGTTTTCTGTGATGCGGAGAAGCGAGAGAATTTAAAGGGACTGCTGTATTTCAGTTCGGCCAAATAAACTCGTAGGAGCTTACATTGGATAGGTAATTAATAGAACTCATAGGAAAGTGGGAGATTAATGACTGACGAATTCCCAGCTCTTTTTTTTTCCAGTCCGCAACTTTGGTATTGCAAAGGCTGAAACTTGAAACGAGCCATTTACATCATCCTTTATGGCAGCTTATGCTGCTTCAGTGATTTTTTTTCCTTGAGTTTTTTTTTTTTTTTTTTGGTCAGTCACTCGAAATTTAATAACTATTTAGTTTTATTCCTTTGTGGCAGTATCAAGCCCCTGAATTTGAAAATAATGCACACACGTTTATGAAATAGGCATTCTTTGACGACTTAAATTTTTCAGGGCCAAGGGTGAGGGAAGTGGCTCAGACTGGCTTTGGCCTGATCAGAGTCAGGGCGGTGCTGGTTAGAGGCTGCCTTCGACGTGAAATCTGAGAAGTTTGCAATTTGCAATTTAGATTCGGATGTATGAGGTGGCAGTTTTGTAAACTCAGATGTAAGTCAGGACCTCAAGTGTACAGCTATGCTGAATTCTTTGATAGCTAAACAAAGCGCTTAATTTAGAAGATGTGAGTTTTTCATCCCTCCAGACACATTAAAAGAGAAGTCACGAGTTGCTTCTGTGAACTTGTGTGTTCACGCACCTTTGGGTGTGGTTTAGGATTCATCCTGTTACTAAATGGAGATAGGCTCTAGGAACTATTTTGTTGTCTACATCTCTGCTTTTTTCCCTAGCAAGCCAGAAAACACATGGCTAAACATTTTTGCTATTTAGAAAGAACTGACTTCACAGGAATTTACAAGTGAGGCCAAGACATAAGTGAACTTGCCATGAAAATCAGTTTGGTGACTTAGTAACTTACAATGAGAAATATTAGTGTCAGTAGGACTTAAAAAGAAAAAACTGGCCCACATGTACTGTGTGGTAGGCACTGGTCTAGTCACCCATACATTGTTTGAATTCATTCACTTCTCCCAGCAGCTGTATCAGGTCAGTACCATTCTTTTTTTCCTATTGCCCAGGGGGAATCGAAGAGGTTAACTCATCTCATATCAGTGGTGGGGTGGTGATGGATGGAGGAGCCGGGCTCAGCTAGCTGTCAGGCTCCACTCACTGTGTGAGGGGCCCTGAATATTTTACAGCTGGCTAGGGATCTAAGGTTTCTGACAGCAGTGCTGAACACCTTGGGTACTGACAGCAGGTGTACTGGACTCTCCTTGTTCTCCAGGCAAGTCGCAGGGGTGAAGGTCTCCAAAGAAACCTGGCATTCACGAGAACATATTTAAGGTTTAAATTCTCATTAATTGCTTTGTTTACACCCTCCTTCGTCTCAAAATATTTTTTTTTTAAAAAAATTCACATTGTCAGAGAGTTGGGGGAGAGGAAAAGGAAAAAGGGTTGGGGGCAGAGAGGGAAGAATATTAAGAAATGAGAAGAAAAGTAAGCTGATAGGCACACATGTCATAAGATCCTGTAAAGTTACTGACCTGGGGCTGTCATGTTATTCCTGATCAGCGTCATGCACACAGACAAAAGAGCAATGATAAGGTCCTTAGTGCTCAGGAAATTAACATGTGTTGCTTATTCTGGGACGTAGTTACTTTAATGCCACTGAGATCTGAGACCAAATTCCCCCAGATTCTCTTCATATGTTGGGCTGGATATATGTACAGGAAAAAGCTGAAAAATAAAACACCCCGACTCTCAATTTAATGGGCAACACCGCAAAGAGAGGAGCTGGATGAGGGGGTAGAGGGACAGAGTCTAGTTGTGCCTGCCTTGTTTTTCCTGTTGCAATTTAAGAGACTAAGGATTTCTTTTGGCTCACAGTTTCCGGGGGTAGTCTACCACATTTGAAAAGTCCTGGAGGCAGGAGTGTGAGGCAGCTGGCCACAGTGCATCTGCAGTCACCAAGCAGAGAAGGATGTATGCTCCTGCTCAGATAGCATCCTCCTTTTTATCCAGATGCAGTACCCAAACCCAAAGAATGGTGCTGCCCTTGCCAAGGATGAGTCTTCACAGCTCAGTTAACCTAATCAAGGAAATCCCTCCCAGGCATTCTTTAAGGCTGACCTACGCTAGATAATACCCATAGGTAAATCTGGAAGCTTGTCTCCTATGGGATGCCATAGCCTGATGTAAGTCAGTATAAACTATCACAAATAGCAAGCAACGGACATTAAATAACAAAGTGGGTAATGTATCTTTCAGGCCAAACAGCCTATACCCAGCAAGGGGCTCTTCTTGGAAGGAGGCTCCCCAGGCAAGTTCTGGTGAGATCTTACATGGAGAGAGTCCAGCCACGTTCGAACTACTGAGGACTGAGCAGAATCTCACTGTGCTTTTTTTTTTTTGACCTGTGTCCAGAGTGTCCTTTCTGTTTTCTCTCTGTCTTTGCTTCTTTCTCTGTTTCTTTTTGAGACAGGATCTCACTGTCTAGCCCTGACTGATTTGGAACTTATTTTGCAGACCAGGCTGGCCTGGACCTCACTGAGCTCAGTCTGCCTCTGCCTCACCACCTTGTCTGGTCTTTTGTTTAGACATTCCTTACTGTGGCTTGCACTGGGCCCTGGGGGTTCCAGGGAACAATAAGATAAAGTTCTTACTTGTTTGGTATTTAGTTTCTTTATCTACAGCTAGATGACTGACCATGTCCATTTAATTGTTTAATCTTGTATAAAAAAAAAAAGCAGTCAGGCAGTGGTGGCGCATGCCTTTAATCCCAGCACTCGGGAGGCAGAGCCAGGCGGATCTCTGTGAGTTCGAGGCCAGCCTGGGCTACCAAGTGAGTTCCAGGAAAGGTGCAAAGCTACACAGAGAAACCCTGTCTCGAAAAACCAAAAAAAAAAAAAAAAAACAAAACAAAACAAAACAAAAACAAAAAAGCAAAATCTTAATGTGGTGCGTGTCTGGAATCCTTGCACTCAAAAGGCTGAAGTCAAAGAGGCCTAGCTATGCAGCACCTACCTCAAAAAACACACCAAGTAATAAAATATATTTTCTATTTTAGAATATTTGGAGCATACAGATAAACAATAAATATATTAAAATTTAAAAACCATCCTTATCACCTAGAGATAGTACACTGTATGAGTAACCTTTCAGGTTTTATTTATTTTTTTTCCCTGTAAGTCAGTTTTTAATCACAAAAGGAAAAATAGAAGCAATTATCAGAATGGTGTCTGAGAGTCAGTTTGAGATATCTTGCTGTGGGCTGGGATTCTATATTGTCTGTATTGTGCTTGAAACACCATTTCAATCACAGTTTGCCTGTGCCTTTCATGGCCTTTTATCTTCTGTGGGGTCACTTTTGGCTCCTGAAGGTTTGTCAATAGATATGGCACCCCGGCTCAGTCTTCAGTGCGTAGGACTGACCTGCCCTTCAGAGCCCCGAGACGGCTCAGTTTGTGCAGAGAGCGTTTACGTGGTTTTCAGTCACCCTCAGGAGCCTTACACTGCAAGGGGAGTGGTTCTACCTAGCTTGAAGGTGTGCAGGACAGAATTTAGTCCTCACAGAGACTGAGAAATTTGATGGGCCCTGGGATAAGGAATGCACCGAATATCACCTGAACCTTCAGACCCTCTCATTTTGGACAGTCCACTGTAGTTGGAAACCTGATGTCTGACCTTGGCCATCTCCTCCAAATGGCTTATTGATTTTGGTGGTGAGAGGAAAGCAATATAAATATTTCATGTGTCCTGTGAAAATAAATCTGTGGAACTTTAGAAGAAACCAGCCAGTGTTCTGACTTCTTTGTTACTCACGATAAAAGCATAAAGGGCATTGTATATATGCCCTTTAAATAAAAACGTGAGAGGAAAAGAGTCTCTGTCTAAAATGGTCTCAACTATTGTGTGATCCACCCCTGCATAAATAATGAATGGATAGTGAGGCTGATGGCTTGGCTTTCAGATATACACCGGACTGTTTCCTTCTATCTGTGTGATGTATTTATACCTAATGGCTGAGTATAGTCCAAGGGGAAACTTCCTGAAAACTCCCTGGATGATGATGGTGGTGATGGGGAAAATTAACATTTAGTTGGCCCCACATGTCAGGCACGGTAGCAAGCACTCTGTGTCCTCACTCTCCTGCATCTATTCTAACTTCACCGTGAAGGAGGTCCCTAGATCCTTGTTTTACTCAGGATAAATAAGCCTCCAAGCTAGCTGTGAGTGATGTATGTGGCTTGGGACTAGAGCTCAGGCTTTAACTCGGACGTGCTACCGGGAGGAGGTTCATGTTTGTGTGTGTGTCTGTGGAGGTCAGAGGGCAGCTTGCTGGAGTCTGTTCTCTCTTCTGCCGTGTGCGTCCCAGGGTTTGGCTGCAGGTACCTCAACCCTTGAGATGTCTTCCTGGCCCACATTAGGGGAGTTTGGTAAAAGATGCACATAATACCAAGAGTGGCTGAGTTTCTTTTAAACTCCTACATGGTATT